TAAGATGGGGCATCTAAGCCCAGGAGTCCAAACTGCACAGACACCTGCTGGGGGAGGGAGGTGCGAATCGAGGGTCCTCTGTAAGCACCGGTGAGTTAATCTGAACAATAAAGTCCACTCCTGTACCTCGGAGCTTCCCCCACCCTCCGCCACCACAAACACACTGGCAGTGTCTACAAAGATAACTTGAAATACACTTTTCACGTCTGCAGTGATTTTTATGAACCGAAGGGACGGATTTGAATTTTTTGTTCCCCCAATGATTCGCCCTTTCCAGAACTAAGATCCATGCAACCGCAGTTCCAAAGATCCTTCTGCCTGCGTAGACAGAAATGCCCCAGAAGTGAGAGCAGCCCGAGACAGCTTTCCAACGCCTGCAGAACCGAGCACAGATCTCCAAGTCCCGGGCTTCCCGTGGTGAAACGCGCTGAACCCGTGTAGCGGCATCGGAGCGCATCCTTCCCAGCGGAGCGCACTTGCGGGGTCTGATGAAAACCCCTCGGGAGCCGCATGTCTCTTAAATAACCGAGCAGAGAGTGGAGGGGCAGTAAAGACTGGGACTCGGTTACCTTCTACCAGACTACAAAATTTCGGCGAGGAGGCTGGCGTGCCAGGAGGAAGGCGCAGATCCCTGCGGCGGGAGAAATGCAACATCGCGGAGAGCGAGCGATGTCTGCTTGATAGGAGTCCGCGTGGAGCGAAAAGACAGAGTTCCGCAGGGACCCAGGACTCCAGGCTGAGAGAGAAGGGAGCGCCACAAACAACCCAGGAGGTGTCGGTGCAGAGTCCAGCTCCGGGTCGCTGCGGAGGAAAGGAAACCGCCTTCCTTCCCTAGCAGTCCAAAGCCTCCGGGCCTCCGGAGCGGCCACAGCCTAGGGCGGCAGCTCTCACTCTGCTACGGAAGGAGGCGGTGCCCGCTCCGCCCAGCGCCGCGCCGCGCCCACTAGCCCACGGAAAAATCCGTTCCCGAAACCAGAGCTGGGAACCTCGGTCCTGTCTACAGGTTCTCTGTTGGTACGTGTCTGCGCCGACCTTAAAGAACAGAGTAATTCCTCTCCAAAAAATCCAATCAACATTTGTTTTGCTCACAAACGCTTTAGGAGGATGAGTTATCCTGTCTGACCACTGCCCATCTTTAGTTTTCTTTCAGCGTTTCTCCAGAAACCTCAGAGCGCCAGCCCCAGAGACAAATGTGGGCTGGATGTCATCGTCCTGGTTGGCCCTTCTGAATGCCTCCCCAGGTCCCAGCCTAGACAGCTTTTTGAACCACTTATCGGAATTAAGTTAGGCGCAAACCCAAACTCACCCCACTTCTCTTTATAGCGTCATGCGTAGGTTTCGAAATAAACTACGAATTCGATCCGTAAAGACTGTAGGCGAGCTGCCTCCTCCCAACTCCCCCTAAACAAGAAATCTTACGAGGCACGCTCCACACTCAAAATCTTTTCTCCCTTTCTTTTGCAGGGTCCCTCGTTTAAACAGCGTCGGCGCCTTTATTCGCCTGACCCTGTGCGCAGGAAAACCCGCCTGGTCGGTCATTGTCTGGTCCGCAACTGCCCCCGCCCCCGCCCCAATCAGTGTCACAAAACGCCCCTTTCAACAGATTCCAAACCCTCTTCACCCGGGCTCACCGAGCCTTCAACTTCATTAAGTGCGCGCTACGGCGGCGCTGGAGGAGGCGAAGTTTAAATAAACCGGAGCGGAGAGGGAGGAGGGGTGGGCCTGGGGAGGGTTGCTAGTTGAAGCGGGGAGAAAGAAGTGTTTTTGAAAAGGGGAAAAAAGTCATCAGGGGAAAAGCGCTTTGTAACCACGAAGACGCGCCCGCTGTGGCGAGAACAAATTGGATATGGAGGGGAAGTGTCTGCCCCCACCTCAACTCCGGCTCCTGGGTGGTCCAAGGAGCTCCAGGAGAAAGAAAGAAAGATGGGGAGGAATAAGCGGTGAAAAGAATTAACCGCTTTAATTGGGCTGCAAGAGAGAAGTGCGGAGAGGCTCACCGATATGCTTCGATCACCCAAACCAAATACCTTTCAATAAAATAAAATGTCAGCTCTCAGCGGCGGCTGAAAAACATATGTCAAAGTTTCAGAATCAAGGCTGTTCTTCACAGCCCTAGAAAGTAAATCTACAAGCTGAGGGAAATTCGCCCGGAAAGACCCCCTCCCCTTCCCGGCCTCGGGCCTCCGGGCGCTGGATGAAAAGGAATGAAATTGAACGAAATTGAACGAAATGAAGTGAAATTGACCAGTGAAATTCGCCAATTTTCTTCCCCTTTAAAATGCCGGCTCTCAGCAGCACTCTCTGAACCCCAGGCCGATTTCTTACCTTCTTTTTTTTCTCACCTTCGAGAGATGAAGGTATGCCCTGGATATTTTCTTATTATTGCCACCAATTGTTGGGGCCTGCAGGGCAGCAGAACCTCAGCTGCCTCCACCCAAGCACGGAGGGAACCTACAGGAGCTGCTTCAGATGGGATAGCCTGTTTATCCTCCCAGGAGGCCTAAGTGAGCCTTCTTAAACTGAACACCCACCCTAGGCACCCACAGGTTGGGAGAGAGTCACTAATTAAGTCCTTCCAGTCCGGAGAAAGAAAAAAACAGCCAGGAGGATTCTACCACAGAAATTCTGAAACTCCCTCATCCTTTGCCTTGAAGTCCAGCTCCCAAATGGGCCCTTCCCAGCTCCTAACAGGTTCCCCACAAAGACAACCTAAAGGAGCCCGGAACTCTAAATACCCTCCCTTCTCTGCCTTCAGCATCTGGAGCCTTGGGACTCCTGCAGCCTTTCCCTTTCTGGGTATTTTTCAAGGCCAGTTGGGCATCAGTGGCTTCTGACTCCCAGTCCTCAGACCACAATCTTCTCTTGCTCAGGTCTACCCTTCTTGGCCCATTGAGAAACTGGGGCCTGAGTCATGGGTTTGGGGCTCCAAGATCCCAAGAAGTCCTATAAGGGTACACCTCATTCTTATTCCCCTGTCTTCTTTTTTCTACCTTATCCTGATATGGATCCTCCAACACACATAGACACCAAGCAATATTCTCTGATAAATTCTGTAACACACACACACACACACACACACACACACAGGGGTCTGCTGCGTCTCCTATAAATAGCAGTTTGTGGAAGTATCTCATCTAACTATCCACCATCAGAGATAACTTAATTTTCTCCTCTAAAGAACCCGCAGTACAGATATTTACACAATTGATAAATCTTTTATGTAAAGCTCCAGTCTGATATCTAGGAGTCACATATTCATGGTAAATGAGATCACATAGCTACAAAGTGCTTTATTGAGTGCGTGCATGCGCACGCACACACACACATGCTCACTTGTGTGCGTTCATGTTTCTTCAGTCACAGTCACCCTTTCTCCAGTGAAAAGAAACGAAATCAACCTCAAAGAAATGGAAGTAAATGGAGCAACCAGCCAGAGACCATCATCCCAGCATCAGCAGGCATTTCTCCCTTTATACCATTGAACCTAACCTTACTTCACCTGGACCATTTGATAAAATGGTGGAAAGGTAGCCCACTGCATTCGACCTCCCTCCACACCCACAGTCTCTCAACAAGGAGAGGGGTGCCTTGCCTCTGGCAGAGGGACTGCATGTACTATAAGCACCTTGAGTCTGGTCCCTCCTCCATTGGTGAAAGCCATGAGACACTTGGGAATCCCAAACAACCCTTCCCAGCTCTGGTGTGTTCTTCCCACCCTAATTCTGATTTTGACACTCTTCCTATAGTAATCTCAGTACTCCACCTCCTCCTTCTTTCCTACTATTGCCAAAGGCAGGGATCCTAGCTGAAGAGGCCTCTGTCGCTCACCCCGCTCAAGTTCTCTGCATCTGGGTCTCTGACCCTATCTTCTTCCTTCTCGGTCTGTCACTTCATCTCCCAACCCTTGCCCTCAACTTGCGTCTGTTTTCTGTGAAGGCTACACTGCCTCTTCCTGCACCTCTGTGTCTCCTCTCCTATAATCTCACTAGAATATACAGAGAAAAGAGCTAAGCAATCATCTTTGCTTCACCCAAAGCATCACCTCTCACTCAACACCCTGACAAGTCTGGCCACTGGGAGTCCTGGCACAAGCAGAGAGCTCAGAGACTCAGTGGGTTTGTGGAAGACTCCAACCAGACCAATGGATTTGCACTCAGGCAATAGCTTCCAGCTGAGTCTAGCTCAAGGCATAGGAAGTTTTACCTTGAGTGAAACCCACTGACTCTATCATTCAGTTCATAGTGCTCAGCTCTAGCTGGAGGAAAGAAAGGTATCACAGTCCCCAGTTCAAGCCTTTCACTCTGTTAGATGTGTTGGGGGGTAGTAGGGGGAGAGGGGATTCCAGACAATGCCCTACGGCAGCCAGGGAGAAACCTCTCTCTCCTCTCAGAAAGACAGCGACTGAGAATCACAAACACACACAAAGACATATTCACCAACATACATAGAAATAAAAATGCATATATTCTGAGATGTATTTCACACACATACTAAGACAAAAAGCAAGGAGCTGTGCCCACTCAAACACAAAAACGTATCATAAGTTCCACAAAAGCCCCACACTCAGAAACAGAGGCATACGGAGTATGCATCACCAGACATACTCACCTTAAACTGTACTTAGTAGGTAGAGTGTTCACGAGCACCTAGCACCCATATCTGCCCAGGCTGTGCTAATGTCCAAACTAGAAGGACATGGGAATCCTCAGGTGCATTTGAAACACCACCCCAGGCAAAACTCCAGGTAAAAACCTGCTAAGGACTAGAACGAAAATGAAAGTGCTGGAGGGGCCACAAGCTTCCCAGAGATCTGGCCTCCTTAACAGCTGAAGGCCAAGACCAAAGTGTCCCTTGCATCCTATAAGCTCAAGCCCTCCTCTGCCTGCTTATGCTGCCCAGGGAACTTTCCTCACTACCCCTCTGCTGGGGAGCTAAGCGTCTTCTGGGAGAGCCCCATAGGGGCAAGGGAGTGCAGGCAAGCAGAGAGAGCTGGTGACTGCTGAAGTTCACATACATTTATTCAATTGACACCAATGGAGAATAGGGGGTAGACAGATTTTTCTTTTCTTCCACACAGACCATCAGACGATTTCACAGAGTTTCCCCACAGTGGAGAAGTCTAAATCAATGCACACCCAGTGGACAGAGAACGCTGAAAGCAGCCCGCTGTACAGATATTTACACAAAATTACAGGACCCCCTGCCACAGTGTGCCCTGCCCACTCCACCCCCGCCTCTCCAGTCCCGGGCCCAGACCCCTCTCTTCCACCCAACCTCATTGCCTTTTGCCACAATAAATATCACAGGGCCTGGGACAGGGTGGAACACTGACAGGACTGCTGGCCCGGGATGGCTGGACCCAGCCAGCCACGGGAAAGAAATTCCTTTAAAAACTCCCAAACACAAAAGAGAAAGGATTTTCCTCAGTGGAGTGGGTTCCAGGGTTTCTGCAGGGAATATAAAGACTCCTGCTTCACCTCTCCATTCAGCTCCCCCTGCGTAGACACTGGTTTAGGCTTCAGAGGAAATGAACTTCCTTGGAGAACAGCAAAAAAAAAAAAAAAAAAAAAAAGGTTGAATTTTTCTTTTAAGCACAAAGCAGATAATAGATGTCTTTAAATTATAATGTTGGACAAGCAGGGTCTCAACTTTGGGGATGAAGTGAGGGAAGAGAAGCAGAAGGGGAGACCCTCTGTTGGTTTTTCTGGCAGATCCGTGGGGCCTGGCCAGGCATCTCTCCGGGAATGATTTCGCCGAGAGGCAGGGAAAAAACGAAGCAGCCCCCACCCACCTCCAGCTTTTAATTCTCAAATGGTTAAGGATTTTGGCTGCGACTTCTTCGCGTAGCCCCGGGCCTGTCGCCCTGAGCGACAGAGCCCGCTTAATCCCAACTATCTGCGAGATTCTGTGCGTGGAGCATGAAGTGCGGAGTCACGCGTGCCGGTCCAAGGTCTGGAGACTTCATAAATAGACTCCCTGAGTTCCACTGGGACCGCAAGAGCTCCCGGGAGAGGCTGAGGAGTGCGGACTTAACAGGCCCTGGGCCTGATGCGGTCAGAAGTGGCAGCCACTGAGACCAGCGACTTTGCTGGCAAACGGGGACCCTGAGGACAGGAGCGCGTCCCCGGGATGCGAGAGGCGAATGTGGCCAGCTACGGGAGCCAGGGCCGGAGCAGTCAGCATGGCCAAGACCTGGGCTTGGCCCCCAGGCCCCGCGGCTGCCCCGAAAGGCGGTCCCGGAGAGCCCTCGCCGGTGCCCGGGGGTGCTGCCCCGCCGCCACTGTGGCCCATGATGTGGTCTATGGAGAAGGAAGGCCTCTGCCCTGCCCCGGCGCCCCCGCCGCCCGCACCACCGCCCGCGTCTGTCTTTAGGCCCTGGCGCAGAAGTGCGGTGGACAGACCGGCCGCGGTGCCGGCTGCGGGAGGGCTCAGGGACGCGGGGTAGAAGGCTTTGGCGCAACCCAGCTCTGCGCCCAGGAAGGCGGGCAGGCCGGCAGGGCCCTGGCCCGAGCCTGAGGCGGGCGCAGGAGCTGGGGCCGATGCCGCGCCCGCGAACACGGAGGCTGTCGGAGGTCCGGGTGGAGGCGCGGCGGTGCGGCCTGTGGAAACCGAGAGCTGGCAAGGAGCGGCGGCGGCGGCTGCCGCGGCGAAGGCGAAGGCGTGCGGGTGCGGCTGCGGATGCGGGGCCGGCCCTGGCGGGGGTGCGCCGTAGGCCGGGAGAGCCAGCCCGTAGCCGTAGCCGTAGGCGCCGTAGGCAGCGAAGCCAGGCAGGAAGGCGCCCGGGTCCCCCGCCGCCGCGGCCCCGCCACGCAGCAGCAGCTCCGGGTGAGGGTGCGGGTGTGGGTGCGGCGGCGGCAGGGGCTGCCGCTTGAAGCGCTTGCGGCGCCGCAGGAAGCTGCCGTTGTCGAACATGTCGGCCGACTCCGGGTCCAGCGTCCAGTAGTTGCCCTTGCCAGGGTTGCCAGGCTCGCGGGGGATCTTGACGAAGCAGTCGTTGAGCGAGAGGTTGTGGCGGATGCTGTTCTGCCAGGCGGGGAACTTCTCCCGGTAGTAAGGGAAGCGGCCGCTGATGAACTCGCAGATCTCGCTCAGCGTCAGCCGCTTCTTGGGGCTCTGCAGAATGGCCATGGTGATGAGCGCGATGTACGAGTAGGGCGGCTTCACCAGCGGGCTCCGCGTCGCCGCGCCCCCCGACGGCGGTCCCGGGCCGGGCCCCGCTGCACCCCGGGCCGCCGCCGCGCCTGGCCCTGGGCTCCCCGCTGCGGCCGCCGCCCCCCGAGGCGCCAGAGCGCGGGGCTCGCCGTCCGAGCAGCCACCCGACTCCTCCTCGTCCTCCGCTACGTCTGCCTCGGCTTCCTCCGGGGGAGTCTCATGGCCGTGGGAGAGCACGTCCCGGGGGGCGCGGGGCCCGGAGCGGGCTGGGAGTTCCCCCCCGCCGCTACCGCCACCCACCACGTCTATGTCTGCGTCGGCCTCGGACAGCGCGGCCGGGGAGCTCTCGGAGGACATGATCTCGCAGCAGCAGCTGCCCAGGGTCATGGTGCCGCTGCCGCCGCCGCCGCCACTCTCCGGCTCCGCTCCGGCAGCGGCTCCGGCTCGGCCGTGCTGCCTCTAGGGCGAGAGTGTTTTGCGCGCGGGCGGGGAGGGGGCGGGGGACTGAGGCGGGCAGGGAGGGGTGCCCCTGGCTCCGCAGCGCCCCCTGGCGGCCCAGCTCGGCCACGCTCACCTTCCAGGGCACGCCCCGCCGGCGGCCCCCGCCGCTATCCCGGGAGCCCAAGCCCGGACCCGCTGCCAGAGCGCGGCGGAAGGAGCTGAGGCCTTCCCTTACCTAGGCGGGCCTCCGCCCCTAGTCCCCTCGGGGTGGCAGTAGGGGGTGAAGGATTGTCCCTCCGGCCTAGCGGCTGCCTAAGGCGGAAGAGCCGCGGGCTAGGGCGGAGCTCCTTGGGCGGGGTGGGACAAGGCGGCAGGGGCGGGCGTAGCGCCTCGGCTGAGGGGCCCGGCGGGAGTAAACCGCCGCGGCCGTGGGAGCTGGGCTCGAGTAGCCGGAGGCGGGCCCTCGTCTTCGCCGCAGCTCCCGCACCCTGCGCTCCCGGGAGCCGCCGGCTCCAGAGCGCTCAGCCCCTGGATGTTAAGGCCCGCGCGGATGCCAGCCGCAGCCAGGGAAGTGGCGGCGGTCCACACGCGTCCTCTCCTCAAGGCGGCGCCCGGGCCACCCGGGCCGAAGCGCAGTGGGAGCGCGATCCTGAGACGTCGGGACCCAGCCGCCCCTGTGTGGCCCGCCGGGGCCCACCCGAGCCCGCAGGGCTTCCGGCCCGAGGGGAGACGCATTCGAGTGATCGCGAGGAGCTGACTTGCCGCCCGCAGCCTCGGGCGTGGGAGAGGTGAGATTGCGGCGGCGCCCTCTCCTCCCTCCACAGTCGGGCCCGCCACCCCTCTCCGCGCGGGGAGGCCGGGGAGGGCGCCGGCCGCTGTGGCCGCGTTCCCGGGGAGCGGGCCGGTTTGCCGCTTGGAGTTTGCCTGTTCTACCGCCCTCTCTGTCTCGGCATCCGTTTGTCTCAGTCTCTGTGACTGTCTCTTACTCTCGTGAGTCTCTGTGGAAACGGCATTTGTCTAGGTTTCTGTCTGTTCATAGTCTGGGAATCCGCTTAATTTCTCTCTCCCCTCTCCCCGGCCCCAGTCGCCCTGAGGACTGGACGCCCCCACCTTCCTGACTCCCAGGCTTCTGGGCCCCACAGACAGGCGGCAGGACCCCCTCCGCCCCCCGCCCGACCCTCCTCTCAGTGAACCCTGACCTCGACCAAGTATTGCCTTCGTCTCTCCAGAATCTGGTGCAAGTGAGGTTGGCCCTCTGCATTGTTTCTCCTCAGCCGGGTTCTTGCCCATCCTATTAGACCTCTTTCTCCCCTGGTCTCCAGGACCCAGAAACAAGCAGCTTCTTCAGAGTGGGCCCATTTCAGCCTCTGGGGCACGGAGCGGGAGATGGGCGCTGGAAGTGAGCAAGAACTGAGCGGTTGCCTGGGCTGCTGCCCGGACAGCGCCGCACAGTGGCCAAAGCTCGGGCGTTCGAGGCTGGAATCCCAGCTGCCTCCGCTGTCCCAAGGCTGTGCGAACCTCATTAGGTGACTTCCCCGCTTTGGAGCCCCCGTTTCCTGGTCTGCATAGTAGTTAAGAGCAGCGACCTGAAGTCAGGCTCCTGGGGTTCCAATCCTGGCTTCACTACTTACCCTCTCTGTCACCGTGGGCAAGTTTCTTTGCTCTGTTTCTGCTTTTGTAAAAATAAGACTAGTAACACCTAACCCAGAACTAATGTGTTAAGTGTAGCCATATTCTAGGCCATTCATGAAAACGGTATTGACAGCACTTTGCAATTTCATTTAACAGCAGCCTCCAATCTATGGGATAGCCTGGTGTTAATCCAACTCTCCCATTCCACAGATGGAGCAACAGAGGCCCAGGATAGGGAGGAAGAACTCAGCCAGGCTCCTGCAAGGAGATAAAACATGGATGGGTTGCCATGCTTTTCACAGAATCCTCAAAATAGAGTATCTGCCCTCCCAAGCTAAGGGCTGAAAAAAATGGAAGGCAGGTCTGGCTGCTCCTGCCCTGTGAGAGCAAGTCGCCTGGGCCCCATCTGGGACTTCTGACCAAGGGGATCCACTTAGCGTGCTGTTCCAACATAAACTGTCCTTGGGGGAAAAAAAGAAATATAGTCCTCAAACCATGGACAGTAAATTGGACAGGGACTGGTGGCCCTGGAATTGGAATTTACTGGGTGACAGACTGTCTGGGGCAAAAGGTCTTGGAAAGAAGCTTCTTGCATGAGTCCGAGGAAACTCACATACCTAGGGTTGCTAGATTTAGCAGATTTATTTTATCTGGCAACCCTACACATACCTCAGACTTGCTCTTGACTACACCAATATCTGTCTTACACTCCCAGAACCCCGCTCACAGATAAGTCACACCGTGGACCACACACCAATTCCAACCCAGCTCAGCTCTGCTAGTGTCTAAATAAGTAGAGAAAAAAAGTGTTGGCATCATCCTACTCCATTTCACCTTCTGAATGTTCTCATTTCATTTCATTTCTTCCTTTTTGAGATGAGTTTTGCTCTTGTTGCCCAGGCTGGAGTGCATGGCACCATCTCGGCTCACGGCAATCTCTGCCTCCCAGGATCAAGCTATTCTTCTGCCTCAGCCTCCTGATTAGCTGGGGTTACATGCGCACCAGGCCCAGCTAATTTTTTTTTTTTTTTTTTTGGACACGGAGTTTCACTTTTGTTGCCCAGGCTGGAGTGCAATGGGGCAATCTCTGTTTACCGTAACCTCCACCTCCTGGGTTCAAGCAATTCTCCTGCCTCAGCCTCCTGAGTAGCTAGGATTACAGGCACCTGCCACCACACCCAGCTAATTTTTTGTACTTTTAGTAGAGATGGGCTTTCTCAACGTTGGTCAGGCTGGTCTCAAACTTGCAACCTCAGGTAATCTGCCAGTCTCGGCCTCCCAAAGTTCTGGGATTACCGGCATAAGCCACTGTGCCCCGCCCTGAATGTCCTCATTTCTAAAATGGCAATGGGAACCAGTAGCTTCCTTCCTTGCCAGCACTGCCCTGGCACCCCAGGCTCCAATCAGGGTAGTACTAGCCAGGGCATTTGCTGCCCAAATTTCCTGCTTCAGACAAGAAGTTCTACCAAGAAGCTGCAGCAGCCAGCCCTTGCCTCTGCCTGGCCGGTTCACCACTACTGAGACCTACACTGGGGAAGGGGAGTACAGAATCTCCAGCCTCTGCTCTGCAGGGTTGGGGAGGGAGAATCCAGACCCTTCCCATACATACTTTTCCCCCCGCTTCCCTCAGGAATGGAAACTGAGGTCCAGGAGATCATGTTACTTGTCAGGCTTTTGAGGGGCCCTAAGCTGAGTAGACCTAGGTGTCCGGGTTCCCAGCCCAGAACTCTGTTTATCCAAATAACTGTTTTCCTAACGGAGCTCCACCCTATAGAGGGATTTCTGTCCCTCTTCTTATCCTTCCCAAGGTTCTGGGCCAGTTTGTTTTCAACCGTGTCTGGATTAAATGCATTGGGGGCTGGGAGAAGAGCAACCGAGGAATTCGGAATTGATTTCGTTTTCTTTGCTTCTCCATGATCCCTGCTTCTTTCGCCTGTGGGCCCAGACTCTTCGGCGTATTGGAGCGGTGCCTGCGATCCCGCTTGGGTCTGTCCCTCCCTCCACAAAAATCTGCACACTTTCCCGGAAGCCTTTGGCTGCAGCCGCGGAAGAGCAGGAGGCCACAGGCTCTTCGGGTCTTGGTTACTGGGTCTCTGGTCGTGCCTGGCCTCTTTCTGCATCTGCTCCACGACCCAGTCGTCTCCCTCCGGCAGCCCAGAACAATTGGAAGGAAGCGTTGTCGGGCGAAGGGGGATGCCTGTTGGAGTTTTCCACTAGTTACTGAGTGTTTTTTGCGAAGAATTTGTTGCTATTAGTGGCCTCCCGGTCATCTCTCCCCTCTCTTCCTTAGAGTTCGCGTAACGAGCTGTTCTCGGCTCCGGGAAAGAAAAGCCCTCCAGCGATTATGTGGATCTAATTAAGTCAATCGGGAAACAAGCAGAGAGCGGCACTGGCTGGAGGCGGAGCTTGTCCGGAAGCACTGCGGAAGGGTCGCTGCGCTGGGGAAGTCTGCCTGCAGACGTCTCCAATTTTATTCACAAAACTGGCCAGCCTCGGGGAAAGCTTCGAGGCTAACTCTAGCCTTCCCACTCCAGACCGAGCTACCGCTCCAAAATGAGACGGCTGTCTAGCCTTAGCCGGTACATTTCCTTTCTCCACCCGGATCTTCCGCTGCTCAGGAGCGATCAGCTCCCTTAGCCAGGAGACTCCAGATCCTGTGACCCGCGGGGGCAGACCTCAGACGTGTTCCCGTTCCCATGCACAGAAATGACTGGGGCCCCAGTGTGTGCACCTTCAACTCTGCAGCCCACCTGCCCTCTTCCAGGCGCTGGCACAGGGGCAGGTGCCTCCGCCTTAGCCTCCACACGTCTGCCAGGCAAAGTTCGAGAGTATGAATTTCCATCTTCTCTTTCCACTACTCCTGGCCACTGTCCCCTCCCAGCCCCAGCCCCTCCACCCCCAACCATGAACTATGTGGTAGGGGGCTCGCTTAAGCACCCTGCATTCGAGCACTGCCGTGGTGGCGACCAAAGTGAGCTGCGGAACCTGTCGGCTGCTGTTTGTGGGAAGAGGGTTGTGACCTCAGGAGAGAGTGAAAACAGTGCCCCTTGAAAGGCACCAGTCCCGAAGATCCACAGAGTTCATGGCGTGGTAGAGAAGCTCCATGCTGTTGAGAGCAGAGGTGGACAAGGTCAGTGGGGGACGCTTCCAGGTGTGTGGGGGCGAGAACCTCAGGTCTAAATGCGCTCTTCTGGGCCGAGCCTCTCTTTATCTGCCCTCACGTGTCTGCCCTCTGGACAACAGTGGCTCCGTATGGTGGACTGCGACCCTGACTGACGGGCGCCTATATTGCGTCCTGCGTCCTCCAGACCTCACATGCGGTTTTCCCTTCCAGACCTGACGCTTGGTGTCCAACAGTGGACCCATCAGGACTGCCTGGAAGGCTCCTCATCCAGGCCCACAACTTTCCCCCAGAGTCTGAAGCCATGTTACCTGGTCGAGGACTGCAAACCTGCTTGGAGTCAGCAGTGAGACCCCAGCGGGGAAGGAGGATGTGTAAGGGTGCGCCTGGGTTGAGGGTCTGTGACTGTAGCATGGAAAAGGAGTTCACGCAGGGATGGCCCTTTGGGATAGCCAAGAATACTTCAGCGGCAGCTTCCTTCCCACCAATTACACGCGGCCTTCTGACACGGTGGCACTTCAGCAATCGGACGCCCTTCCCAGGCCCTGAAATGGGGCAGGGGAGTAGGCAGGGTGCAGAACCACAGGGACCTGTTTCCCAGGCAGAGTAACTGGCAAGGCCTTAAGTCTTCTCGTGGGCGCAGAAATATTGCCGGGTCCCTGTGTCCTCTGGGCAGGTGCAGAGCCGCGTAAGCCTCACAGAAGCGGAGCCAGGGGAACAGCGGGAGCTCTGGCATGGCGGTGCGGACGCTAGTGATGGATTCCTGGGGGAACAGGGAGCTCTGGCTTGGCGGTACGGACGCTAGTGATGGATTCCTGGGGAACAGCGACCTCTGGAGGAACCTCTCATCCACGCAAAGAGTCAGGAACTAGTTAGAGGACAAGGTCTGAGACCCAGCACGCTTTCCTCACCCTACTCCCATTCCACCCGCCTGGAAAAGTTATCCAAAGACTTAAAACCTCCGGACTCTACTCTTTGCTTATGTCTGCCTTTTTTTTCCAACCTGTACCCACGTTTCAAATCCCTGCTCCAGTCCTGCCTCTTCCAGAAAGAAGCCTTCTGGAGAGCTCAGTTCATCTTCCCCCTTCCTGCTCTGAGCTCATTCTCAGGCCATACTGTACTGCATAGCCGACCTGTTTCCTGCCGGATCTTCTCCAAAAAGACCGTGAATCCACTCCACGCATGCCTTGAGTTGCATGCTGGACATCCCATTCCCGCCCCACCACCTCACCCAACCCCCCAGTAAATAAAGACTGAAGTTATTCATTCCAAAATTGGACTGTAGATTTTTTCAAAGCTAATTTTGCCGATGGGAAAATTGAGACCCAGAGAGAAGGATGACTTGCTCACAACCACACAGCAAACTGGTAGCAGAGATGGCACTAGAACCCTAGTATCCCATTTCCCAGGCCAGGGTCCTCTTCATCTCACCTGGATGGGGAGCAGGTAATCTGGTGGAAAACTCACTTAGATGGGTGAGAACAGAATTGGAGAGGGGGGTTGGCATAGGAATGGGGAAATTCTGGAGGAAACTGAGAGGGTGGTCACTGCTCCAGGATGGAGCAGTGAGGAAGGCAGGGAGGGCAGTGCCAGGCTGGGAGGTCAGACCCTTCTTTCCCCCATCCTCAGCCCAGATTAAGCTACTTGGAAGGGCTCTGTATTTCAGGGCTTGGCTTCATTTCTTCCATCAGCAGGTGGGAAGGGCTAAGGTCTGGGAACAGATTCAACTCCAGCAGATACCACCCTCCCCCATCCACCACCACCACCCAAGGGAAAGAGCAGCTGAGAAACTTCTGCTAATACACTCAGAGGGCACTGCTGAGACCCCAGATCAACAGGAGGCCTTCTGGTACTTATAATTACAGAGTTAATGGAGAAGGTGGAAGTGTGATTTGCATGAGGCTCCAGTGATACCTGCTCGACAGCCTGAGGCTTTTGAGCCTGATGCAGGCTGCATCGCTTTCTGGATATAGGGTGCTTGTCTGCCTGGGATACCTGGCAGCCTGGCCTCTACCTGCTTGTCCAGCCTTACCTCCAACTCCTGCACTCTACTCATACCTGAGTTACTCTTTCTTCCCTCTTCACCTTTGCAGGTGGCTCACTCCTGCCTGGCTCACCTCTCCTAGTCCTTAGTTCATTTCACACATCCAGTTTGTGAGATGCTTTCCCTGACAACACTTCTGCGCTCACCTGACTCCAAACCATGTTCCCAAAGCTCTTAGCTCTGTCTGTTTCCATTATTTGTTTTTCAGTCTGTAGATTTTATTATAGACCAGGGGTCCCCATCCTTTTTTGGCATCGGGGACAAGTTTCATGGAAGACAGTTTTTCCGCAGACCAAGGTGGTGGTGGGCAGGTTTTGGGATGAAACCATTCCACCTCATATCATGCCATCAGGCATTAGTTAGATTCTCCTAAGGAGCATGCAACGGGCTGGGTACAGTGGCTCACACCGGTAATCTCAACACTTTGTGGGGCCGAGGTGGGTGGATCATTTGAGGTCGGGAGTTTGAGACCAACCTGGCCAAACCCTGTGAAACCCTGCCTCTACTAAAAATACAAAAATTAGCCAGGCATGGTAGTGGGTGTCTGTAATCCCAGCTACTTGAGAGGCTGAGGCAGGAGAATTCTTTGAACCCAGGAGGTAGAGGTTGCAGTAAGCTGAGATCGCACTACTGCACTCCAGCCTGGGCGACAGAGCAAGAGTCCAGTCTCAAAAATACATAAGGAACATGCAACCTAGATCCCTCACATGCGCAGTTCATGATAGAGTTCGTGCTCCTATGAGAATCTAATGCTGCCACTGATCTAACAGGAGGTGGAGCTTAGGTGGTAATACTCGCTCACCCGCAGCTGACCTTCTGCTGTGTGGCTGGGTTCCTAACAGATCACCAGTTAGGTACCAGTTAGTGGCCCAGAGGTTGGGGTTCCCTGCTTTTAGACTGAGCTCCTTGAGAACAGGGCTCATAGTGTGTTCATCTTTATCTTTCCCTCTGCAAAATGGGGATAGTAATTGTACCTACCTCATTGGATTGCCATAAGGATTAAATAAGGTGATACACATAAAGCACTTAAGCTACTGCCTGAAACTGAAAGAGCTCAAACAATGTTTTGCATCATCATTATTAATCACTCTACCTCCTGCCAGGCACAAAGCCTGACACACAGTAGGTGCTCAATTAATGTTAGATATGTGGATATATTAATGAAAGAAGAAAGAAAGGTATGACCTAGCTCTCTCTGTCTGGGACCCCTATAGAATTCTAGGGAGTTCATCAGTAGATCATCAACAGAACTCTGTATTCATTGAGAACAAAGGTTGTAGCTCAGATCATCAATAGAACTATGTGTTCGAAGAGAACAGAGGTTGCTTCTCCCCCATCAGTCTCCATCCTTGAAGGGAGGAGAACATGTCTCCCTCAGACAGAGTTCCTTCTCTTCATCTCCCGCCGAGGTCAGCCCCAAATGGTGACAACTGCTACATGAGCTGACATCACAGGTCTGGGCAACCCAGAGGTTCCCAGTCTGCCAAGGGCCTCATTTCCAGCCATGAAGTTTGACTCCCCATTAGTTACAGGAACACTGCTCACAGGGGCCCTGTGTGATCTTCCCTCATCCACGCCCTCCTTTAAAGCTGGGGCCACTCATTTCTGAGGGACTAGAGGCGATGAAATAGGAAATCTTAAACAGTAGGGGAACAGATTTTTTAGCATGATCCTATGGTCACAACCCAGCTGGGGGAGACAGCAGCATTTGGCAGGAAGCCTGGAGGCCTGAATGGAAGAGGTCCAAAAAGCTGATTCCCTACACTGCCATGGATGCCCAGGTTTTGGGGTTAAAAAGGAAAAGGAGCCACCACCGTGGATGGATTGACAGCCAGAGCAGAGCATACCACAGGGTGGGCGTGGCAAGTACCCATGCTTCCCAAATCCAGAGGCCAGGATACCTTGTGAAGGGGCTCTGGTGGCAGACTGATGGGAAGGCCCTGGAGAAGAAGGAAGTGGGGTTTGAGAAGGTGAAAATCTGACTATGGCCACCAAAGATCCCTTTGAGAAATAAAAGGGGACTGCTGTTGAAAGGAGCTAGTGTGACCGCACAGGGGGCTTGGTGCCTTGGCAAGGGCTGCATAGAAACCCACTTCCAGGGATTTCTCCTGTTGCTGTACCTTCACACATATGGTATGACATGTGTACAAAGTCATATTGCAGTGCTGTCTGTCAAAAGGCTGGAAAAAAATGTCCATCACTAGGGTACTGGGTAAGCAAATAATGAAACACCAAAAAAAGGACTGGTGTACTGTACAAGTAGAATATAGAAGTCTTTATGTACTCATCTGGAAACGGCTCCAAGATACACTGTTTGTTTGTTTGTTTGTTGTTTTTGAGATGGAGTCTTGCTCTGTCACCCAGGCTAGAGTGCAGTGATGTGATCTCGGCCCACTGCAACCTCTACCTCCCAGGTTCAAGCAATTCTCCTACCTCAGCCTCCCAAGTAACTGGGATTACAGGCGTGTTGCCCTGGCTAATTTTGTATTTTTTGTAGAGTCAGGGTTTCACCTTGTTGGCCAGTCTGGTCTCAAACTCCTGACCTCAAGTGATCTACCCACCCTGGCCTCCCAAAGTGCTCGATTACACACATGAGCCACCACGCCCAGCCAAGATACATTGTTGAGTGAAAAAAAAAAATTCAAGATGTATACAGCAGTGTAAACATGCATCTAGTTGTGTTTTTCAAGGATAAAATAATGTGTATTTGTATTGGTTTATATGCGCAACAAAAATATCTAGAAGGATGAATAAAAATCTAGTAACTGATTATCCACTAAGACAAATTGAAAACAGAAATGGGAGACTTCATGGATAACATTTTTGTAATTGTAAAGCCAAGTGAAGTGAATGTATTACTTATTCAACAATTAAATAAAAACTTTAAAAGAAACAGTTGGATTATTTCAATAAATAAGGCTGAGTATGTAGAACATAAGAATAATAAAAACCATTACTATGTGCTGAATGCTTTTTATAGGCTCCAACTTGAGAATATGGTTGGTGGCTGTGAATGTTGAAAGCAAGGGATGTGAATTTAGACATGTGAGGTGCCTGTGAGTGTCACCTGCCTGCCCATCAGACAGGGAAGCAGTTGAGTCTTCTAGCTAGGACCCCAGATTTTGCACCTCTCCCCCTGTTCTGTTCCCATCCCTCTGTCTTTGGCTCCCTCTCTCTGTTGGTCCCATCTAAATTACTTTGAAAGTAGTCAGTTTTTTCAGTCTGTTGGATGGACAGGGATTAGGATGGATAGAGGAAGAAGGGGTTTCATAGGAGCAGGAGCAGCAGGTCCTCCCTTTCTCCTTTCAGAACTCCAACCCATCACCTCCAGGAAGCCTTCCCTTGTGAAGCCCACAAAACCATAGTCGCTTCATAACTCAGGGAGACAGACTGATGCCTAGGGTGGGGCCTATATTTCCCTCAAGCAGGGTCCAGGCCTCTTGTCTCTAAGCCTCATCAACCCCCTCAGCCCCAAGTCCAGCCTCCAGACAAGGACAGTTCAAACCAAACCTGCAGTATGCCCAGTGCTGGCCAGGCTGCCCAATGAGGGACATAGTGGAGCAGGGAAGACACGGTCAGGTAGGGTAGAAAATCCTCACCCATCACCACCAGTGCTTTAGCAGTCACAAAGGCTGTCCCTACCCAGGCAAAGAGGATGGGGCACATTCTCTATTTCCAGAGGTGACTGAGGCTGAGGTCAAGGTAGAGGCTGGAACTGGTAAGTGACTAAAGGGACCTAGCAGCCCCTCATCTCATAAAGCACTCTACATACTATATTGTCATCTGCCATCATTTGAGCTCTCTGAGCAGGGACAGTGTCTGATCTATCTCTGAGTCCTCAGCTGGGAAAGAGAACAGGACCTGGCACAATAAAGGCACTTGGGAAGAGGCAGTAATTGCTATGAAGGGCAGAGAAAGGAAAGGACTTGCCTAAATATTTGACCTGGGATGAGACCCCAGGTTTTCTGCCCCCAGCCCAGTCCCCTTTCCTCTGTCTCCCTCTTACAGAGTAAATAAATTGGCTGCACCTAGAGCCACCAACCTCACACCCATTCCAATTTCATTTGCAGTGGCAACTACCAAATCCTGCCAAGAGGAAGCAGGGAGGATGGAAGATCTGGGAGAGCTTTCTAGAGGAGGTGGGAACTGCAGCTAGTTTTCTTCTTCTGCACCAAACAATTGGGTTCCCTGCTAGAGCAAGTGCCTTTCAGCCACCAGAGGACCCTGTCA